GTGAATTTAAGGATTCAACAAATTCACTACTATATAAAGAACACGATTGCTGAGACTTTATTACGTACTCACATGGACCGTATGTTTTCCCCCTTTGAGGATATGTATACACATACGTACACCCTACAAAAATTACATACACGCATACCTCGAACAATTCTGCAGACTCTCTCTTGGACTCTTTATCTCTTTTTTCCCTATAAATTCCTTTCCCTGCTTTATATAAACACGTATGATTCACATCGTTCGTGGACTGTCTCTATTTCTTATCCTAGTTATACCTCCCTTTTACACTTTTGCTATCTTGAACTTTCTCTCAAAGTACATTCCCCTTTCTCTCGCATTCTTGTATAGATTTTCATTCTTTTGCTCAATGAACTCCCACCTTTTCCATCTATCCCCCCTCCCCCCAAACATTTTCTTTCTTATCCTCTTAAGCGCTCTTATGAAATTCCCTCTAGATCGTTTGTTACTCGCCTCGAACCTTTCGCAATTTCGTATGTTCGCCTCGTCAATTTATTTATCGTGTTTTTCATTGATAATTTCCTCTTCCTTGCAGATTCTTTCATAAATTTTATCCGTCTCTGTTGGACTCTTCCGTGAACTCTCTCTCTCTCTCTCTCTCTTTCTTTCACTCACTTACTCACTCACTCACTCACTCACACACACTCTCCCTCTTTCTCTCTCATAGATACATGTCTCACCTCGTTTCATATAACCTATATCTTTCTCTATCTCTCATTTTCTCTAAATACTCGGTACATTTAAAAAATTATGACAATCGAAACAAGAAGCAAACGTCAGAGGTTTCATTACCGATTAACAGGGGTCGTAACGGTTGATAAGGCGAGGTGAAGTTGGTCAAGTAAGGTTTATTCGATTCTCGAGACAAAACAGTAGCCAAGGCGAGCCCTTGGTGGAAACTTGGGCTTTTCGGCAGGCCACCAGTTGAAAAAGGAATATATCCGTCCACGTGAACCATCTTATTGTCCGAGAATGATCTAACAAGTCTGATATCCGTCGCCAAAACGTATCTCCTCCCCGGCTCGGTTTACGGTAAATTACATCCCTGTACGCACCGGTTTCCTTGTTCACATAACAATCTGTTGCTTCGACGTAACTGACCGTTCTTTCGAGCAAGAACAAGTCACATCTCGATCTCTGTAAATCGATACTAATGCACGATGGTTTCGTAAACGTATCCGTCAACTAACTTCTCAGCTTTTAATAGACGCAGTGCGATCGGAAGAGAGGACGCGCGTTGCGGATCCGAACGGAGAAAATGCTGCTGGTATCAAAGGCCGTTTGAACGAGAAAGGACTGTTTACGTTAGAAAAGTAGGAATCACGAATGACGCGTGCGCGCATGCGTGAATCACCGCGCCTTACAATCGATACGTTCTGACGTAGCTGCTTTCGCAATCCTATGCGATCCTATGCGATCCTATGCGATTAAAAAAGCAAAAGTAACTAATTGATTGTCTTTTTTTATATAAAACGAAAAACATGTCAATTTCAGTTTGAAATGTAAATGCAAAAATTGACTAAAATTTTTAAAATTACAGCTAATCAAAAGGAATGTACAGTGGCATTTAATACTGTAATTTTTATTTCTATGACACAGTAATGATGATATGCATATACGTTTTCATGAATGAAAGTGAATTCAATTCTGTAGAGTGTATTACTATTGAGATGGTATAAGATTAATACTTGAATCCATATATCAAGTTTAAAATGCATCGAGTAAGCGGAAGCCTTTGTAGATTTTCGGTCGATACATCGATCATTTAAATGCTGCCGTCTATAGACCAATTTCCCTACGGATGTCTGTTCCATGAATAAAACTCCCTGTTTATTTGATAGTAATCAAAAAGTATTTGATACTTCACTTTTTAACTCTCGTTCTTTTCACTTCTCTCGCTTCTTAACATTTTATTTGTTTCTCTCGCAATTAATTTCTCTTTCGTTTAAGTTATTCACCAAGATATTCCAATTGCGCGCCAAACAAAATCTTTTTTGAATTAAAGTTGGAGATGTAGGTTTCTCGATAACTCTACGTTTCACGATATTTATATTTCTAAATGAAAATCATCACCTTTCACGAAAAGTTTTTAAAGCCCTCTTCGCTCTAAAGTCCCATCAAGCGCGTACAATGCACCGTAAAATTTTAAATTGGAGTGGCGATGTTAATCACTCTGACATCTTTTCTTATCCAATTATTTTTTCATATTTTTTCATATTTCAGTGTAAGAGTAACTCAACAGTATTCAATGATTTGAATGCCAAATACAACGAAACACTTCGATTCATTAAGACTGCAAAATATGCCACGACTTACATTAAAGCACAATTAGTTTTAGTTAACTACATACAGTTCGATACACGCTCGATGCGTTCATTAAGTATATTGCGGTTTATTCCTGGCAAGGATAATAATGATAAGGTTTACTGCTCCTACTTTGATGAACTATTATAGTAATCAATCATTATGTGGCAATGATTGCTGAAGAAAGCAGAATTATTCGCTCAGAGAACATTAAAGACACTGACAGGCCTTGATGAATTTATCGCATGGTGAAATTTCTAGAGAAATTGTCTCATCATAAGTCAAACGGTGAACGTTTTACGACTAATGGAAGTCGTTCCAAAAATCAAGCACATTATGGTAATTATAAAGAAACTAATATTTTTACGATTTATCTAGAAGAAATTACTTTTATTATTACACCAAGTTGAATAGTAGCTTTCTATAAGTAGCTAGAAACTTTCTTACTTAAGGCTGTATCTTTTAAAACAATATTTATTTCAGAAACTTACCGGATAGAAGCGGCAACTTCTGAAGTTCGCGATTTTTCGATATGTTAAATCTTGAGCTACTTTGCCGTTTGTCTTTCTTAATCACAGGGCCTCCGGGTTGGTATTTGATTTTGTTAATCAACGTTGGTGGCGGTGGTGCAGTGGTTGCCGGTGGTCCTCCTGCTATCTTATTCGCCTATGAAATATGAGAAACAAATTCTATAACAATAAATGCTTAATGTTAGATTCTTTTATATAAATATTTATTAAGAGTCGCAAAGTACAACGTGAAATTGCTGATGCAATATGTGCATAAAAATTACATTATGTGAAACAACTATTGATTTGGAATATCAAAAGAGAAAATTCCTTGTTTGAATGTACATTTGATCTATATTTGATCTCAATAATGAAACAACTTTAAGTAGAAATAAATGCATTACATATCTTAAGTAGAAATAAATGACTTACATATCTTTTGTAATACTTATCAGAGAGTATTATGTTCTCTGAAAAGTTTTGATATTTTACAAAGAAATTGCTAACCAGAAAATAGTTTATTCATACTCCATTGTATATAATTCAGGAATGATAAACAAAAATTATTCTCTAAAAGCAAGTGTATATGTCAATCTGTGTGTAATCCTCATTACATTCAACAAAATTCTTCCAACGTTGCATTAATGCCTGGCTTCCTCGAAAGAAGTTTTGTGGTTGATCTTGAAACCATTTATGCACTATTGGGCTTGACTCTTCGCCTGAGCTGATGTCCATTTAGATTATCCTCTAGTGGCCAAAAAAGATGATAGTTACTTGTGAATGAGTTTCGGACAATTATATAGTACATAGTAACACTTTTATTAATGTTTCAGGTCTACTAATGTAAAATGAAAAAATTGAAATAGAGATGCAAGAATGACTTCAACACCAATCACAAAACTTCTTCTTGAGGAACCTAGTCGATGATGGTAGTCCTTGAGGAAGTGTATCCCATAACAATTAGGCATAAATATATTCCCTCTTGGCTGTGTAAGATGAATTTTGATTTTTGTCACTTCTATAATTGCTGTCAACATGTTATAATAAATCTTTTTGTTCTCTTAAATATTTTTGTGATTGATTGAATATTCTTGAAAATACATGCACATATAAATTTTAAAATTGCTATTTTGCTTTTAATCACTGTAAGGATAAAACTAAATAATGCACTAAAGTATGAAAATTTGAAAGAAATTTAATAACATCAAATAAATAATAGCATTACGTAATACATATATATAGAAATTTATATGCCTTAAATGATAAATAGTTATTGTTATTGCAACAAAGGTTATTAATCATGAAATAAATTGCGATACATTGTAATATAATCTAGTAAAATTACATTGAATACAGAGCAAAATTATGAGTTAAATATGAAACAATTATTTGCGTTTTCATACGACCAATTAATAATTAATCGACTATAAATTTTTACGTTATGAGCAATCGATAATTGAATAGATACAGTGTAACATACTATAGTTTCTTAAGCAATGCATTATGCAATGTTCATATAAATATTTTATTTTAATGCGTAATAAACGTATATACCGCACTACTATCATTTATATCATAATCACATGAGCTCAATTTTGTCGTATTAGCCGTAAATTTTATAATTTACATACATCTTTTAACAAATTTAAAAAAATGCAACTTTAAATACTTTGCAAAAAGACCGATTGAATATGCCAACCAGTAAATAAGATAAAAATTATGTAAATATAACGTTAAAAACCGCAAGCTAAATATGATTTGCTATACAACAATTAAGATCTCTACAGTTAATTAACATTTTTTTAGCACATATTTAATTGCGCGTTAATTCCATCCTTGGAATTCGCTTCATTCATATCGCAATTACGTATAGGAAGTACGTTAGAAAATAACGCATTATTCCGACTATCTTTGTGATTCTGAATTATTCGAGCGAGGAAAACTGAACACGGTGTAGCGTGTAACAAAGTGACAAAGAAACAAAGACCAAAAGAAATTAATTTGTAATGAATTTTTCGTTTACATGGTTTTCTATTTATCAACTAAGATCCACGCTCAAGCGCCACCTGTGCCAAGCAACATTTTTTTCAGTCAGAACTTTAAAACCGTTTTAGAAACGGTATTCATGTAACGCAAGCCAGATCCGAAAAAACAAAACAAGCAATCGCATCAGATAGAGGAGCGTGTATTTCGGAATACATGCTTGTACACACGAGATTCGACGAAGAAAAACATTTCAAGTGGCACATGACGTCGAAAATGGATACTAGATCTCTTTCGGTGGATAAATGTTGAATGAAGTCTGTCGGGAAACTGATACGACACATAAGACGTTCGACGACTTTGACAAACGAATCATTGACGTGTATAGAAATGAAAAGAAAAAAGTCCACGACAGGAAGAATCGACACTGACAGAAGTCGATCCGAATCGGATCGAATCACATCAATAAGAAAGAACATAGAAGGACGATATAACCTCACCTCGTCACTGGTCTCGCCATCCTTGCCGTTCTTTCCCTTGTCCTTGCCGAGCTTCGTCGCATCCTGGAACAAAACAAGTTAATTGCACCCCTTGTATCACCGTACAAATGCCACGACAGCACCAATTCACATTCGAGACGCGGCCCGCAAACAGGCAAGAACTCGCACTTGCGATGTCATACGGAACGGAAACGAAAATCAGCTCGAAGTACCATTGTCAGATTATTGGAACGTTCGCTCGGGGAAAATGTGGCAGCGAAACGAATATCGAAAAATCAGAATATCACGCTACACCCTTCGGTGTCTCGGCTACCGGGGTTGTTTCCCCGTACTCTCTTTACTCTCCCTTCTTTCTTTTCTCTCCTATCTCCGTCATCGTCACCCTCTCCTCACTTTCTCTGTCTATCTATCTGTCTGATCGTTCGTCTCTTTCTCACGCTCGTAAATACAGAAACTCTGACTCGTTCTTTCTCCAAAGCGCGCGCGTGCCCGCGATCTCTCCTCGTCCAAAGAACACTGTTTTCACGTATGCGAGGAGTACCAATCGCGTAAGAGACCGAGACGTGACCACGACCAGAGAAGACAGGAGCGACATGCAACATGATGAACGCACCTTTTCCTTTTTCGACTGGCGAGTTGACATATCGTCGATCGGGAATTAGGAACGCACGTGATCGAGTCGAATGTGAGCTAGCACAGTGGAGAAATACGTAGTAATGCATCAATCAGCAGAAACCGAGCCGACACGATACGCTCATAAACGGCGGCCATTGGCTATGTCTAGCCATTGTACTTTCAGCCGGCGATTCGCGCCACTTAACTGAGAATACTTAAATTTCCAATTTTTCCCTAGTCTTCGGAAACGCTTCAGCGACTTCTTTCTATGTACACCATGGAAATTTGAATTATCGTGCAGCAACAATGTAACACCGCGTGCAAATTAAATGCCGTGAATACCACGCGTTTCAAATATCCAACGACTCGTAACGTATCTCTGTTACATTTCACAATAACACAGGTTACAATATTCTTTCAAACGTATGCAATATTCGAGCGAACAAATCGTCGTTAAGAGCCGGAATTTCGTTATTTTGTTGAGAGCTAATGAATTTGAACGAGCAACGTCGAAAGAAACTAAAGATTATTTGCATTATCTTACTTGATAAATTGTAAAATTGTTGTTCAAAGTGTCAAAGCCGCTGTTTAATTGCACCATTTTAAATGCATTCAAAATAATACACGTGAAGTTGCCGCTATTATTTATAAACTTAAAAGCATGCGGCATCTCAAGACATTTCCTTTGGGTGCATTTTAAATAAAAAGATGATTTACTATCAAAAGTATAACACTTCTTTGAAATTTGAAACAGATATTTTTAATAAAAAATTGCATATGTAGAAGACGATGTTTTTCATGCAGTTTTAAACATTGTGAATTTCTTACATAATTATTGTTATTCGCGTAATTACTATAATTGTAAGAACAATATGTAAAATAACTTTATAATTACGTACATTACTTTACGTACATTTCAATATTTTAGTGATTTTGTGGCTTTGAGTTGGCTATATTTTTTTATGTAGTGGATCATTCTAGATCAAACTAAGTGTATAATTTACATATTAATTTATTTTGACACCATGTTTTCTAAAGATTTAAGGAGTAATAATTTGTGTTTACAAATTTGTATTTAGCAGATAAAAATACGCATAATAAAAAAAAAGTAATAACACTGACCGTTATATACTAATAATTCAATTTAATTTTACCTAAAATAGATTTTTCATGTAAATCTAGTGTATAAATTCTACATAACCAAGAAATGGCAGAAGATCGAAATCAAATTACCGAAGAAAAAACAAAATCAATATTTCGTGATTTGACGGCCGATGATCCAGAGCCGGAAACTACAGAGATAGAGAGTCTCTGTATGAATTGTGAGAAAAATGTATGCTATTACGAATTTACAATTAAAAACAAAGTACTTATCACCTGATGTAACCAATGTACTATTTTGTAAATACAGGGTGTTACCAGATTACTTCTAACAAAGATTCCACATTACAAAGATATTGTGGTGATGTCTTTTGATTGTGAACACTGTGGATTCCAAAATAATGAGATACAAAATAGTGGAAAGATTGCAGAGAAAGGAATTAGAATAAAACTGCAAGTTAAAACTCCTAGGGATCTAAATCGTCAGGTAGTTAAATCAGATTACACTGGTGTAAAAATTCCATCCTTGGACTTTGAGATTCCATCTAGATCACAGAAAGGAGAGATTACAACAATTGAGGGAATTATAGAAAGAACTATTAATGGATTAGAACAGGATCAATCTGAAAGGAGAGAAAAATATCCAGATGCTGCAACACAAATTGATCAGTTTCTTGAGAGGCTAAGAAAGCTGAAATCTTTAAAAGAATCTTTTACTATGATATTCGAAGATATATCAGGGGAATGCCACGTAGAAAATCCAAAAGCACCATTGAAGGATGACGAATGTATTACAGTGCAATTTAGAAGAACGACAGAGCAAGATCATATTTTAGGAATTTACTCTGAGAATACAGATGATACTTTGTTGAAACCTATACAAGAGGGAGAATATACTCTAGAGCAAATTGAAGGAGAAGTGCTTTCTTTCAGAACAAATTGTCCAGAGTGTAATTGCCCATGTGAAACCAACATGAAATTAACCAGTATCCTTTCTATGTTAGTATCATAATATATTTTTTCTTTTTTTTTTTTTTTTTTTTTTTTAAGTAGAAAAGATTTCATCCTTAACTTAATATATAGAAATTCCACACTTTAAGGAAGTTGTAATTATGGCAACGGTTTGCGAATCTTGTGGACATAGAACGAATGAAGTTAAGAGCGGAGGAGGTATCGAACCTATGGGAGTAAAGATAGAAGTAATGGTTGCAAGAAAAGAAGATTTCAGCCGCGATTTGTTGAAATCCGAAACTTGTCATATGCAAATTCCCGAATTGGAATTAGAAATTGGTCCTGCTGCCTTAGGTGGACGTTTTACCACAGTAGAAGGTATTTTGGTAGCAATAAAAGAACAATTGTCATCATCGACAGCTTTCAGCGGTGATAGTAGCGATCCAGAAACTGTCAAACGGATGAAAGTCTTCATATCTCACTTAAATGAGGTTTTAGAGGGAAAACGGAAGATCACTCTTGTATTAGATGATCCAGCAGGCAACAGTTACATTCAAAGTCTTTCAGACGAAGGTTTAGATAGCGATTTGAAAATCACTAAATATGAAAGAAGCTTTGATCAAAATGAAGAACTTGGATTGAACGATATGAAAGTTGAAGACTACTAATCATTGCGAAATTTTACGAAATAAGACAATGTCAATATAATGTATTATATTTGATCGAGGAAAGAAAATGTATTATAAATGTACACTACAGTGTGTAAATATATATTTTGCAATTTTATTGCAAAATTTTTTATCGAAATTCAAATTTCTATTGTCATTCCATGTAATAGATAAAAAGATGAAATAGTCATACAACCGGTATAGCATCAAGTTTTTTTAATTTCGGAAGTCTTCTAGTTACTTGACTGCGCCAAGATTCCACGTCCATATTTTCACAAATAGGATTATTAATAAACAATAAATCTTCAAGAAGCGGTATTTCTTGTAGACGATTAAACTCTGCCCAGTCTTTTACCAAATTATTCGACATGTAAAGTACTTTCAGCGCCTTCAATACGTTCACGCCTTTAATTTTTTCAATCTGATTATATGATATCCATAATTGTTCCAGATGTTCTCCAACTGCTTCCAATCCGGAAAAAGTTTTAATATTATTGCGACCCAAAGATAGAATTTTCAAATTTTTTAATGAATTGATACCACTGATCTTTTCTATCATATTTGTCGAGAGAGATAACTTTCTAGAAAATGATAAAAATTATTGCTTACAATATTTTTATTAAAAATATTTAACTGACTCGACAGCGGTAAGTGCCGCTAAATTATTATCCATTTTTTCAATTGGAGGCCACTGGAAAGACAAAATGATTTCTTTCTGTCCACTGGCAGTTAAACCCATTTTCTCTTCCCATCGCTGAATAGCTTCTTTACAAGTCGTTGCTTTGGCCTATATGGTAAAACGCACATTATAAATTTTTAGAAAAAATAAGTGCAATATCATAAAAAAGCAAGTACCATAATTTATAGTTGCATTACAATTTTATCAAGCGGAGGAAATTTCTATTAATATTTTTATGTTGTTAAAATATTAACAATATATAAACGCAATTACTTCCAGTTAACTTCACTCACTGTGCCAGAATGATAATTTCATTAATTTTATAATATTCATTTTCTTTGTACAACATTACACAATTCTTTCCATTTGTCATATTTTTATAATCCAAAACTAATAAAAATTTAAGTACAAAACAAAATGAATAATAATAAGAAATATGAAACGTGAACAGAAATTATAGTTAATAACTAATTAACAAATGTGAATTTATGATCAATAATGTAAAAAAATCGACTGGAGAATATTTAAGAATACTTAAATTTATAATATAGCAATGAATATCGATGAAAAATTTGACATTGATAAACCGTTATGGGATCAATCTACGTATATTGGTAGATTGAAACATTTTGCTTTTATTGCTGATTATCGTATGATTTTTGTAAACGACCAAAAATTGAGAGAAGCTAAACAATTCTGTGATGATTATAAGTAGGTAAATTCTAATTGCTCAATTACTCTAATATTTCAAGTAATTAACTTTTGTCAGAAGAGGCTTTGTACCTCCTGGAATACAACTGTCTAATATTATTCGTGCAAAACAACTCAGAGATGGTGCATTTCATTTAGAGACTGGTGAATTAATACACCGATTTTCTAGATTGTGTTTTCAATTACCTACTTCAGTTATGCTTACAGCGTCGATGTTAGCATTTCAAAAGTATGTCTAAAAGAAAGTATGTCTTTCATTTTAAAAATATCTTTTAAATAAAAATTTTTCCTAGTAATTATTATATATGTTATTATTAGAAATTTTCCTGCTATAATGACATTTCAAATATTACATCAAATGCATAATGCTATTATAAACGACATGTACAGAAGTATACGAAATAACGATGATGATAGAAGAATGAAAAATGCTTTTTTATGTGCCATTATGACAGGCTCTATTGTGACCTTCTGTTGTAAGAAAATACTCTCTGGAAAAGCACTTATTTTTAATGTTAGTTTCTCATTGATTTTTTATATGATTATTATTTATACAAAGTTTTACATTATACTTCGTCTCACACTTTTCTGCCATCAGAGATGTTTGCCATTTTGCGCAGTAGCTACAGGTCATATGATAAATTTACCAGTTATGCGTTATAAAGAAATCACAACAGGAATTCCGATATATGTGAAAGATGAAACACATTCTTTTATGAAATCCAAAGTAGCAGCTATAAAGGGCATTTGTGAATGTTTGATCTCAAGAATAGCTATGTCTATACCATGCTTACTTTTCATTCCTATCATAACTCATAAATTTATGCCTTATTGTTTGCTTCAACGTCGATCCTGGATATTAATTCCATTCGAAACTTGTTTATGTGCTATAGGGTAATTTTTCAATTTTGACTTCATTGTTCTTCCATTCGAATCGTTTCTTATTAAATGTAATTCAATTTTATAGCTGTATGATTGCAATTCCAGCTGCTTTTGCAATTTTTCCCGAACGAAAGTAAGCGATTTTATATTTTATTCGTATGCAAAAATATACAATAATACATTTTAATTGTTAAGCTCCATGAATCCAATATTGCTGAAGTTGCATCCATCTGAGTATGAAGAGTTTAAGAAATGTGTGAAAGAATATATAGATAAAGTATACTATAATAAAGGATTGTAACATTGAACATCGTTCATGTTTTTTTTTCTTCTTTTTAGTGAATAAAATGTAATTTATATGATAAGAAAATAGATATATTTAAATAAAAAATCATTATCTCTAAATACAATTAATGTACTATATCTATATTCTTTTTCTTTTTTTTCATTTTTATAGGAATAGGTCCTGGCATTTTGAATACTGTGCTGTAAGAAAGAAACAAAAGACATAAAAAGTATGAACTAAGACAATTATGCCAAATTAAAACATTACTATAATACTTACTGGCAAGTTGTGCATATTGGACTAAATTTACAAAATACTGAAAAATATATTCACTTATTACTTTACACAGATTTATATAAAAATAATAAAATAAATTTTATTTCTTAGTTTGTCTTACTTGATAAACATATGGAGCATACATAGCCAATATCAATCAATTCTTGGTGACAAAAGCATGCTGCTCTATAATCTACTTTCACAGGTGGCGGGAGTACTAATTTTGATCTAACATTTGGATCTGGTAAAAATATCCACTAAAAAGTAATTATAAATAAATAAAATATTTACCAACGAACAATTAAATTATTCTTTATTTTTTTACCAATAAATACTGTAATAATCCACTAAGTTGGGGCACTTTTAAATAATTCCCACCAGTAATATCACAGCCTTGCTGGAGTAAAGTTAATTCTTGGTCTAAACTGCATACATCCAATATTATTCCCTATTTGTTTAAAAAAGACATAAAATTTAAATTTAAATTATGTAAATATTAAAACACAAAAGTATAACAAACCATTTTTTGGGCAGTGAAGAATATGTTCATGTAATTCATATATTGTGTTGCTGAATCATTACTTGCTGTGATGACAAGGATTCTTGAATATATTTTCTCACCAGCAATCTTTTCTCTTTCTAACCTAGCAACATAACATAATGCCATGGTCAATGCTCCTGATATAAGACTTTCTCCATTTAATGGTTTGTCCAAGGAAATTTCATTGATAACTTGTTGCAGTTGTTGCCTTACAGTACGTTCTACCATGGTAAACTTTTCATATTGCCCATCAATTTGTCTAATTTCTACCGGTTTTTCACAAGGATATAAAAACTTTGCCCCATGACTGTGACATGCTATGATAGCAAGTTGATTGTTAGAAGACTGCATTAAATGTGCATTGGCAAAAACGATAGTAGAATCCAAGCATTGCGTCAATATCCTTGTTTCCTGTTTTATAATCCTTTGCACTGGATTTACATCTAATACGATTATTAATAAACTTGTTTCTATTTCTGAAATAAATAGAATAATTACAGAAACAGAAAATAAAATTTTAGGAATAACTTGTTGATTTAAATAAAGTAGTTTTGATGGGGAAAAAGATTAAAACATTTTCATAGGTTAAATAACCTCAACGTACCATTTGACATTTTGAATTAGCCTAATAATGTAATTATTTAGTATAAACATAAATTTAGCTTTCTAAACACATTTTTCCATCTATTTATCACGTTTTTCTTTTATCATTAAACTTTAGAAATTGAAATTTCAAATGAAAATTTCAATTACTTAAATCCCTGATGCGTACAGCTAGATTCATGAAAATCAAGCTACTACTACTAACAAATAACAAATATTCCAGAAGATGCAAATACATTCAATTTTTCAAGTGTATTCGGGCGCGAAATATAAACAAAACAAAACAAATTGATTCCTAATTAATTAATTTTATTCCTAACTGATCGGTGTTCCTAAATTAACTTATTTTTTGTCCTAATAATAAATTTCTAAGAGTTTGCAAAAATACACGAAAATAATAAAACAATATTTTGATACATATGTAACAAAATATAAAAGATCACGAAATATCCTATTTCAGGAAATAAAGCATTGCTTGACAATTGTTTAAAAAGAAGTAAAATCATTTTTATAGTCATGCATTCAAAAATTTGCGCGCAAATATTCGTGGACGGTTACAGACTTGCGTAAATTGTCTGTCCAAAAAGACGCATGCTCGTCATTACGACACTGGTGAGAGAGAAACAAGTGTGAAATATCATTGAGGTCATTGGGGTGTCTTTGAAAGGTTATCGAGCGTTGTGTGAAAGTTGAAATCAGTCACATTCGTGATCACAGAATCATAAGAACATGCTGCCACGATATCTGAAACCTGCGTTAAGTGTCGCTCAACAAGGAGCGAAGCGATTATCCACCAGCGCAAGAGTAAGTTTTGTCAAATATGTTTCCATTAAATATCGTAGCTTACTCTGTTTTGTATCTTTATCATTCGTTTAATTCCTTATCGTACTTAGGATTATAAAGAGGCTTATCGATCATATTGAAGTATTCTGTATAGTATATTTGAAATGCACGTGAAGTACAGTTATGCAATAACTATACAGTGTGACAGGCGACCTAAACTCGATCGAATATTACTTCATTTTTAATATGTCTTTAACAATATGTAGATTCTAGTGTGAAATTTCAGTCACAAAAGAATTCCATGATTGTGTGTGAAAATATATAAATATATTTTATATTTGTCTTCCTAATTTTTTCCGGGATATTTCGTTTCAGTGCAATCACAAGGTCGCCGTTCTGGGAGCAAGCGGAGGCATAGGACAACCATTATCATTGCTTCTCAAAGAATCGCCTCTTATAACCGAATTATCATTGTACGATATCGTGAACACACCAGGTGTCGCTGCTGATTTGTCGCACATAAATACAGGATCAAAAGTAAAAGGATACACCGGTCCCGATGAACTGAAAGACTCTGTCAAAGGAGCACAGGTATTTATGTTATTAAGTTTGTTTAAAATATACAATACAAAGAGAATTAAAAAAATCATTGTATAATGTTTTTGTAGTTAGTAATCATTCCTGCTGGTGTTCCACGTAAACCAGGAATGACCAGAGATGATCTTTTTGATACGAATGCCTCCATAGTGAGAGATCTCACCAAGGCCATAGCTGAAGTAGCCCCAAAAGCTATCATTGCTATTATTTCTAATCCAGTGAACAGCACCGTGCCTATCGCCAGCGAAGTATTGAAAAAAGCTGGCGTTTATGATCCCAAGAGAGTATTTGGTGTAACAACCCTTGACGTTGTCAGAGCAAACACCTTTATAGCAGAAGCCAAAGTTTGTAAAAAATATAATAGTAAATAATTTCTGAATTTATAGTTGAACTGTGAATTTGAAATAGAATATATTTATTCATTATATTTAATAGGTCAAATATATCTTTACTTAGATTTCATTTTCTCAATTGTTTACAAATAAATTTGCATAAACATCCGCAGTTTAGTATATAATATCAATTATTGTTTTCAGGGCCTTGATCCACAAAAAGTAAATGTACCAGTTATTGGTGGACACAGTGGCGTGACGATTATTCCATTAATTTCACAAAGTAAACCTGCCGTTTCTTTCCCAGAAGACAAATTAAAGGCTCTTACCGTTAGAATTCAGGAAGCTGGTACAGAGGTCGTTAAAGCCAAAGCTGGCACAGGTTCTGCAACACTTTCAATGGCCTATGCTGGCGCTCGATTTGGCATATCTGCACTTAGAGCGCTTAACGGGGAACAGGGTATCGTAGAATGTACTTTCGTCAAATCAGACGTTTGCGATACCAAGTACTTTGCAACACCGTGTATCCTAGGTGTAAGTAGAATCATTAAATGCTAATGTATTTAAATATTTAGTGTTTTCGATATTTCGAAATATATTTTATATATACATATATATATATATATATAT